GCTCCTAGAGTCTCTTCGAGTGGTACACTGGGGTCCATACGGGCCGGGCCGAGGACGTCTATCTTCTTCGCGCCACCGAGCACCCGGAAACAGTTTTCCGCGCTAGCGAGCACTTCTTCGCGCTTGATCTTGGGTCCCATGTTCTTGAAGTCGACGCAGCACTTGATGAACAGAGTGACCTTGCTCGCATCCTCCGGGTAAGCTTCGAAGTAGCGGCGCAGCAGGGCTAAGCCAGCTGTCGGCTCAGGCATACCGTAGTAATCGCCACTAGACCAGAATGTGGCGCCTTGAGCGATGGCTGCCTTCATGGTCGCGAAGGCCTGCTCGTCGGGCGTGTGCTGAGGACGCCAAGTCATGCCCATAAGCCCGAAGCCTGTGACGGCCCTAGGCCTGAAGACGGTAGCGGAAGTCGAGGACATTTTGTCGATATGGTAGGATTTGCGGTGGGTAAAGTTGTGGAAGCAATTGCAGGTGATAGCCGAGATGAACGAACGAATCCGACTTTTCTTCATGGCTCTTAGGGGATCATATAGAGTGTTTAAATGTTCTAGGCTCTATTATAGCAGTTATTAAGTAAGAGATGTTGCACAAAAAGGTTTCGGCCGGTGTATACATGATCGGGCTTCAAAGGAGCCGAGTTATTAGATACCTGACAAGTCCGCCCGAGCTGAAAAAGGGTTACGGTCTTAGGAACAAAGGGAACGCGAAGAGAAGAGAAGAGAAGCCTGACTAAGGCGATTCGCGACATCTAAACTCCGACGCATAACTCCTCGCCACGATGCCGCATATTAACCTATAAGCTACCTCCCTAGATATCCTAGGATTTTTCCTTTGAGCTATGAGGCGTCTCGTATTTACATTTAGGATTCTTCGGGCTTTCAAGGCGTCGAGACGGGCCAGCTAGCGTGCAGCTAATCGCCAACACATTCATACGCACGTCCTGTGTGTAACATGCCATTATTTTCCCAATCATATTTCGGATCCCATGGCACAACGCATCGATGTTTGCTTAACTGCGTGCCTGAATATCCTTTTTAGAACTACAATAAAACTTGATTTAGTTACTTAATTCAGAGGTACCTTAATTAGACAATTGCTGGAAAATGACACAAACGTAGTGTGAATGCTAGAATTACCCAGGCTCATCTGTTATATATAAGTATTGTACTTCGTAAGTAGGTACTGTTGTAGAAAGCCTCCTTGAATCTAATTGGTTGAAACTAAATGTACTATTCTCTTTAGAGTATGAAGCACGCGTTGAATCCTCTTTAAGTCCTAACTCGCGCATCTTGGTAACGCCCTAGCAAGTCCAGGGTTACGGAGATAAGACTCATTTTCAAGGCGACGCTATGATTCTGTGAAAATACAATTGATTGGTTGATTCGAGAATCCTACACTAGAAGACATGTCCCGAACCCTATTTCAACTTTTGAGCCGCCCCCACGCATAAGACGATTTCTTCAAGTCAATGGTAGCCATGCTAGGTGACTCGCAAGGTAAGCTATCGCACGTCGGCAAAGAATGTTCAATTCAGGTTCAGGTCCTATGCAGAGAACAGTACGTTGACTTGATTAGTTCGAAAGCTTATAACTATCATAACCAATATTGTTGTGCTTCCCAGCACTTTGGCAAGGTACCTCTCCTTTTGGCTGCATTTAATACCTTGGAGTTTATTAGACTTAAACTACGACCTAGTTTTCAACTACCTAGGTAATTAGCTTCGGTAAGGATTGGAATAGGATCCCGAAATCTATGGGCATTATATTAGTTTCTGCCTTGATCTCATTAAGTGGAATAGACTAAAGAGATGTCAGCAATAGTAATGAGAAGCCTTCAAGTTTGCCTAGCTCTCCGAATCTCGTATATCGGGGTAATACAGGACCATTAGGACAGTCTCGTAGCGAAGCCTCTCGGGGTCTCTAGAAGATAGGGTGCAGGTCGGGTAATCATTTCAGCTCTGGCTTCAGCCTCAGCCTCACCTTTCAGGTGTGCTGCCGACAGAGAATTTCTCGAGTCTGACCGGGTTTTCTAACACAGCCTGGATGCTCTTCTAAGTACCCATCTTCACTTGCTACCTGACGTATTCTACCCCAAAGAAGTTAATAATTCACATTGTTGAATGAATAAAAAAATACAGGTTTGATGAAGATAGTGATTGCAGAACTGGGTCAGCCGAACCGGGCCGAATTTGGCCTAAATCTAGTTAATACTGTATCTTGTTTAACTCGTCAAACTCACTGGCTGATGCAACGGGCGTCTGATTACCCGTCTATCGTAGCTGGCGGAATATGGCTGTAGCCCGAGGCCCAGGTCTTTAGTTCTATAATTAATTATCCTACACTAGGATGCGCCTCGTGACGGGATGTTACCCATGATGAGACGAGAGGCGCAATAGGACTGGGGGCGTCCTGTTCAGGGGCACTACAGTCCATGCGACGAGAACAATCACTCTTCAGATATAAAATGTAGGAAGTCATGAAGAATTCCAAATTCGAAAGATCCAAGCATCTACTCGACACTTGCTCGCCTCTCAGATCCAAGCTAAGAGATATCTCACCTGTGTTACTCGGCCATCATGCACTCACACGCCATTCTCAATGCACTGGCGATCTTCGCGTCGACAGCTGCAGCTTGGCCTACTTGGCACACTAGCAGAGGTGAAGATCTTGTGAAATTCCTGGAGAGGGCCGCAACCCCCACGTTGAACTTCCATATTTCCCCCAATGCCTCAATTGTTACCCCTGATTCCCCTGAGTGGGCCGACGATACGGGCCGCTGGTCCACGTGGAGTGCGCCGACGTTTAGCGTCGCATTCCTCCCAGCGGAAGAGAAAGACATTTCCGTCGGTGTACGTAGACCGGATCTATCCACTATCAGAGAAGTTACACATATAGGCTGACATCATTGTGTAGCTCCAATATATGTCCAAGCACAACATCTCGTTCCTTGCAGGTGGCGGCGGTCATGGGAACACCGTTACACTAGCTAAGGCGCAAGATGTTGTGTTCATTAACATGGAAAAGTTTAACAAAATCACCGTAAACTCCGATAAGACTATTACTGTTGGCGGCGGAGCTAAATTCGGGGATGTCTACGCAGTCGCCTACGGCGCCGGCCGAGAATTGCGTCAGTATCTGTCTACTTTAAACCAGTAATACATATACTAATTACTAGTTAGCTCTCGGCTCTTGCTCTTGTGTCGGTGTCGGTGGTGCCAGTCTGGGCGGTGGTCACGGTAGGCTCCAGGGCAAGTATGGTTTAATAGTAGATGCAATCGTCAGCATGCGCGTTGCTCTATGGGACGGTTCTATCATTGAAGTCTCATCCACCAAGAACTCCGATCTATTCTGGGCTATGCGAGGAGCCGGTCACAACTTTGGAATTGTTCTCAGCTTTACATACAAGACGTGGCCTTTACAGAACAACGGCTTGACGTATAACGCAGACATGACTTTTACCAATGCCTCCCTAGAGGGCGTTTTTGGTGTTATTAACGAGCTTATTCCGAACCAAGACCCCGGCCTTGCTTTAGACCTCTTCATCCTCACCAACGAAACTAGTCATGAAGTAAGTACTAAGACATACTATACCTGAAAGACCATATAACCACTAACAGCGCCAGACCGTCACTTATCTTAACATCGTGTATGCTGGTACCAAGGACGAGGGAGATAAATTCACAGCTCGCTTTGCTACGAACAAGAAGTCAACTGGGGGTATTGAACGTACATTCTTGAACGTGACGATGACTCCCTGGAGCCAGATCACCCACGTTGCCGCTGGAGGCATGGTCGACCTAGCATGTATCGACGGAGCAAGCCAAAACGTTTACACGGCGAATCTGAAGCAATTTGACATACCCCAGCAGCGAAGATTCTACAACTCCTACGTTGACTTTATCAAAAAGAACCCGCTCGCATCCAACTCCATCATCTTCTACGAGATATTCGGGCAGAAGGCCGTGACGGAGCAGCCGGCCGACCAAACCGCAGTCGGAAATCGTAACTACGCCAACATCCTCGCTCTCTATCAGGCCACATATACGGACGAAAGCGTTGCAGCCGCCGCCGATGAATGGGCGCGTAGTCTTCGCGACGAGGTAGTCAAGCCCAAATATTCAGGCTACGATATCGAGTCCGTATACATGAACTACGCCCACGGAAACGAGAAGCTAGAGTCTATGTACGGTTACGAGCCCTGGCGTCTGGAGCGTCTTCGTAGCCTCAAGCGCCGTTACGACCCCCAGGGATTCTTCAACTTCTACAACTCGGTTCTATAATGTAAGACATGAAGTGGCCGGAATAGACGTGGAAACATGAAGCTTCGGATTCGTATACACATATGGTTTCTGTTCAATGTAAACTATACGATGTTTTCTTTGGGTATATCGAGGTTTTGTTTTAGAGCTGCTGATACAAATTGGTAGAGTATGAGTACCTACCTACGTACCTAGGCAATCATCGTTGTATCTATAGAAGATATGATTGCAATATTCACCCATAAATCTCCTGGAATAGGAGGGAAATTTTATCATTTATCCTATAAAACGTGAATTGCAAATATAATATTTCCTTCGAATATAATTGTACTCACCTATCATCGGTTTGTTTAGGAGGCACATGTGATATTGGCGCTATGATAGAATTTCTATAAAGTTGTAATGAAGTGAATGAATGTGGATTGTAGAAGTTCTTGAGAAGAATGCAGCCCTAAAGGCTGCATCGGTCCCACTATTATAGCTTACGTAATAGGTGCCGTAGGCACCCGTATCACACTAGGATAATTTTACTCGATGATTATATGATATTACGAATTCAAGTATGAGAGATCAAATTCCATGTAATTTATCTCTATGTACCTAAGTACCACCTGTTCATTACATGTTAGCGCAGCTAAAATCTGAAACATAATTCCTGTCGGATAAAGCACGGAGGAGTATTTGCAACTAAGTACTTAGCAAATAAAAAGTGGCCAACTTGTCAACAATTCCCACTAACAATTCCTCGGTGGCGCAATTGGCTAGCGCGTCTGACTGTTAATAATCCAGGTTATCAGCGGTTCATCAGGAGGTTGAAAGTTCGAGCCTTTCCCGGGGAGTTCAGTTTTTTTTTCAACTTTTTATAACTTCTAATCGTTACTCTACCCATTATCTTTTAAGTTCTAGATTTTCTAGTCCCTTTGATTGAGTTCTTGTTATTGAAGGCTACAAGGCGGAAATTGCACTAAATACAATGGGCCTCGTAAAATTACCACTTGTTTCCTAATGAATCAAAAGCACTTATGATTATATAGGTAACTATTTGCAAGACATAAATCGTGCGCCCCCTAGATTACTGACAATATGCGAGGCCTTGGGATACCTTAGTAGTAAGGATTCCTTACGGAATGACAGGGCTATCTCTTCGCTTCGTAGTCTGCTTATGTCAAGGATTAATTGAAGACCTAGTAACTGCTGTCGTACGCGGAGTGACCGCGGAGCGATAGATGCGTCGAACTGATAATGTCTAACCTTTTAAGCTCTATGAAGCCGCGTGGCGCCTCTTATATGCTCTATACCCCTATAGCCATTCTATACTTAAGTAGGTACTTACCCCCTAACAGCCTTGCAGCTGTGATAGATTTAATGCACTTCAATGTAGTTTCATTAGTATCAGGAAGCAGGTCTATGTATGTGGCTAGCAAGAATACTATACAACTGGCTAAACTTTTCATAACTTCTATGATGCTCCTGTGGTGAAAGGCGCCCCTATAGCATCCGTATATAGCATACCCGCGACGCTGGCAGATGTAAGAGTCGAAATGATACCGGAAATTAAAGCCGAAATGGCGACTCTAGAGACATCTCCAGCGCGCTCGGGGGCGAGCTGAGACAAAACACCAATTTGAGTACCAAGAGAACCGACGTTGCCAAAACCCTATACCAATGTCAAAATCATTACTTTGGGATAAGAATAAAATAGGGAATACGACTTACGCAGCAAGCATAGGTTGCGATAAGTTGAGCGCGCGCGCTCATATCCATGTAGCGCTTGTCTGTTTTAAGAGCGTGGAATGCGGCAAATTCATTGATAATGATCTTCTGGCCAATGAGCTCTCCGACAGGCAAAAGGTCACCATTTGGGACACCGAGAAGCCAAGATATAGGATAAAAGCAGTAGCCGAGAATAAACTGGATGGTTAAAGGAGGGTTATCAATGCCCCAGTAACCGCCCCACCATTCAAGGAGTCCATTGATCAAACCAACGAAGGCGATGATGCAAAGAAGTGTGGCCACGATCATACCGGCGATCTTCAACCCAAGCCAAGCGCCGTTCGAAAAGGCGTGCAATGCGTTAGCAGCCCTGTGCTCATCGGTTTCTGGGATAACGACACGGCCAGACGTTAGAGTTTCCTCCGTCTCCGGCCAGCGCATTTTAGAGACAGCCAAAGATGCCGGGATAGACATGATACAAGAAGAGACGAGCGCCTGCGGGTTTAAGCCTAACCCAATGTAGGCTACAAGAACCGAGCCGGCGATAGTGGCAAAACCACACGTCATAATCTGATGGATCTCGGCCATGGTCATGTGCGCGACGAACGGGCGTACAAGCATTGCAGATTCACCCTGTCCGATGAAAGGGGTCGCAGCAGCTACTACAGCTTCGGCGCCCGAAACGCGGAGGCTCCAGAAGAAAAACACGGCAAACTTGCCGATGAACCACTGAATAAGGCCGACGTGATAAAGTAGGGATACGAGAGCCACGAAGAAGATGATTGGTGGTACGACACCAGTGAAAAACCAAGTCAGCTTCGTGACTGATTCATCCGTTAAGAACGCAACACCCTCCTTGGCGAAACCAAGTAAGGTTTGGGCCATGTCGGAAATGAAGTGGAATATGTCATAGCCAGCCTGGGATCGCAAGACGAAGACGGCGACAATGAACTGGGTGAGCATCCCCCCTTGAAAAGCAAGTCAGTTGGCCGTCAATTGGTATGATATATGTGAGACCCAAAGGCTGCTTACCGATGACGGTGTGCCAAGGAATCTTCCTCCAGTCTCTCGAAGTGACAGTCAAGATAACTATCATGACTACTAGACCGAACAACGATTGCGCACGACGGGGGCGCGTGTTGTCGCCAGTCTCTTCGGGCACCATAGAACCAATCAAGAAAACTGCAACAGTTACGATAGCAGCAAGTGGACGATGGAGCCTTTTCGGAGTTAGATCGTAAGCCCTGAAAGCAGTGTGATGCCAGACGATTTTGACAGGCTTCATGACATATTTGACTGGAATCCAGAGGAAGATGATGCGAAGCGTAATGGCCAAGTATACCAAGAACGGGATCAACCAATTCTTCTCGTTCCGAAAACGAACGAGGCCGTAGATCCACCATCTGAACAAGCTATGTCAGCTCTGCGACATCGTGCGTGACTGCGACGGTTCACTAGGGGCCGCAGCGGACTTACGCCGTAAAGATGAGCCAAATTGCGAGGTGGATATAGGCTCGATACCTATAATACCAATATGCGAAGAAGCTCTTTTGGCCTTCATCACCGGCTATTTGGCCTATATTAGCACTTTCCTCATCAGTAACCGACTTCTCGGCAGCAACATAATCCTGAGGCTTCTCTAGACTCTTATCCGGCATGTCGGTTGAGTAGACAATTTCATCCGAACGTCTAGCAGAGTTGGCCTTCATATGCTGACTATGATGCAAATGCTCGTGGCGATGCTCATTCGAAAGATCGAGAGCAGGATCGGGGTTAGGAAGCACGCCTTCTTGGAGTGATGCATTGTGGCCGGCGAGGCCTTTGATCTCAGGAGAACCCATCGAACCGAAATCCGAAACTAAGAAAAAACCTCTGGGGCAAAATTTTTTTCTCCTTCTCTTTTCCTCCACTCCTCCCTTGTAAGTTTAACTCGACTCGGAGAAATTCAACCCTCGTCTCATCCGAGTGTGGGGTTGACCACGTTATAATCCCGAGAACTTGACGCGCGAGCAAGTTCAAAGAGAGGAGGGTAAAGAGGAAAAGGAAAAGGTTAGGAAAAAGAGGTTATATTATTAGTGAGATGCGGGCCGGGGTGGCACCAGAGGGCATCAAGGGGACATCAAGTGATCGATCTACAACTTCTCCAGATTGGAAAGGCACAAGAATTTTAATACTTTTCCAAGGTCAGCCTCGGTGGACAAATCGTACTACATTGCACATTTGGTGGCGATCGCGTGGTCTAGATGAACCCGGTTGACGCTAAAGTTATGGAGGCCTTCTAGAAGTGGAAGGCAACCCATAAGCTATACCTAGTAGCTATACCTACCCGGCCTGCCGGCCTATCTAAAAAGACATCTTAGTCTAGCCGCTAAATTAGTACGACCGTTTCACTTAACTTTATAGGTACATCCGATTGATGATAGGTGTAGGTACCTATCACAACCGTATTGGCGGTTTGTGAGTGGTCCAACAGCCATTGAACAAAAAGATCATGACGCCACAACCGCAGCTAAATAGATAAGAGCTGAATTAAATATAGGAGGTTTTTAGATAACCGGTACTAAGGAGGTAGGTAGGTTATTGTAGCTATTATGGTATTAGATATTCGCAACCGCAGCGAGATTGCCTTTATTCGATTTATTTTACACCATTAGTTACCGTAGCTAAACCAGTGATAAGAAGAATAGTATGTAGTGGTTCAATTAGCATGCAAGCTATGTATGTGGAATGGGTTATCGGCATTCCCAAAGGAACGGGGCGCCTCAAGCTTTGCCCGACTTTAGGAGGGATATTGTGCTGGCCTTGAACGATTCTCAAAGAGGAAGTTCGTCCGTGCACACAATAGAGCATTTTTATTGGGTGCATCCACGATAGTGGCTGACTTGAGGAAATCCCCACTTCGAGAATTTTGAGAAAATACGTATCTTTTTTCCCCTATCTTATCTTCCTTATAAAGTCGGGCTATTGTGGTGCCCCGCAGGGGTGCCCTCTTGTTTTTTTCTCCCACCCTGTCTCCTCCAAAATATTGAAACTTGCATTTCTGATTGGCTGAAAATTCTTGATAACGGGAATTGTGATGTAACCTTCTTTACTATGTAGCTACCAGTAAAAATAAGCCGGGGATCCTTGGGTTTAAGGTACTTAGTATGTACCTAACGCTGAAGTTTGCATATATAAGGTACCTAGGAGGTACCCTAAGGTAGGTCCACTACGTATGGATACCTATGGGGGGGCACTGCACCCTGCCGTACCTCGCACAATCGGCATAATCCACCAAAGAGATAGACCAACACGACGTTACCTCGACTCTTCAAGTACACCATCTATAGGATCCAAGTATCGCTCAAGTACCAACCATAAGGTAAAGATCCTAGGAAAACACGATATTTAGAGTCTGGCCAATCTTTTTCTTGTTTTATATCATTGGTGATTACATCGATGAGCTCATTTCAAGAATCAGCGATGATCACGAGAGCAAGTATCGTATAAGCGTACATGATGATGATGGGTGTTTGATTGTGTGGAACTCGGGAGCTAAACGCGTGTAGCTTAGTAGCGCACGATACACAAATCATTTGTGGAAAAAAAAAATCGAAATAGAATACCTGTCTTCCATGAGTTTTTTTTTTTTTTTTCCTCTTCTTTTTGTGGTACCCAAGCGTGTCGTGTATAGAATTGCAAAATCATTTACAAATCTATTAGTTAACTTGCAAATACCATACAGCTGGTGTCGTTTACGAGCAACGAGTACTTGCAAGATACTACCTAAGTACTTAAACTTCCGGGATGCGGTAACACCGACTGCCATCTCCTCAAAATGGAAATAAAATGTCTTGTATTACATCGTTTCTCCGCACTCAACTCCAGCTCCTATTCATTCCAACCATCCCATTGGGTTCATTCTATCGAGCTATCCGCGTAGATACATCGAGATGTGTAGCTTATGATAGCTCCCACGGCCCGATATCTCAATAAATTAATCAAGTGCCTATATGTTGCATGGTATTCGGTGTAAGGATGCTTTCTGTCGTGAAACAATGGCAGGTTGATATTTAAATGGTTGATCTCGAGAGATAAGAAAAGGCGAATTACCGCTGAAAAGCTGACCATCCCAGCTGAAATCAGC